AAATTACAATTGATTATATTATGTTTGACAAGAGCTCGGTTCCTGAGTCCCAGGCCCCCGAGCACGACGGCAATTTTGGCAAATCGTTATGTTTAGATGTAAATATTTCCGACTATTTAACTATATCAAAAAAGATTGTAGAACTTATAAACTAACTTTTCAAACTTTATTCAAATCCGTAAAGATCCCACAAGTGATATAGCACTTTAGAATACTTAATGATATGCTAAGTTGCTAACTGATGATGAGGCCAACCTCGCAGGCCAGGCTTTTGGTACGGTCTGATTAATATCATTTACCTAATAAAAGCTTTGCTATTCAGGGAATTCAAAAGATTCACGTTTATCACTGCATTTGAATCTCATCGTAATTAATAACTTGTTTTAAGCTATACTAGCTGAAATTAATGTTCTAACTGATGTGATATGGCGGTTTCTGTCATTGTTCATATCAAGAAAATTATTAACAAATATATATTTATTACTTCCTGGATTAATCAGCCGTTGTTGAAAATGGATATCAAATTATGCCTACCTGCATTTTTAGCTCTTTGATATATATTTTATCAATTTATATAGCTTATTAAAAATAATCTCATTATTGAACCTAATATAACATAATTGCACATCCAATTCGCTAAATGTGTGTAAATGTTAAAATGTTATATACGAATAGTTTTAAAACATTGTTGTGTGCAAATAAGTGTCGAGTCCTTTTATTTTTACTATAATTTTCGGTATTGAACGCGTCTAGCTTTAACGTGTTTAGAATTAGTTTTCAATCAAAATTGTAACAAAATGGAATTGAAAACGGATATTGGTACTGAAAATAAAACCAGACAATATAAATTACTCTAGATGAAACATGTAAACATAGCTGCTATAAGCACACAAATTTTCCAATATATAGATACTAGATTGTTTTTTAATTCATGCGTGCAAGGGGAAAAGATTAGGTATAAAAATCAGCGCATATGCCATTTTATCTGTGTAATATAAAAGTATCCATTGAGAGAATTTCTACAGATTTTTGCGGAAATATCATAAAGGAATAAAGAATCGAGAGAATCAGACGATGAGAGGAAAAGTGGTCGTGTACTGGGTGCTTCTTCTCACTGTTACGGCAGTTCTTTTTGAAGTAAGTGTAGCTATACATTTTAAGTTTTTATTTGCGAAATCTGTTTTAAAAAAAAAATTGTAGAAGCTGAGCGGAAATTTATCACAGAGTTTGCATTATAGATCGGCCAACACGCCACTATTGTATCCCAAAATTACAAAAAAAAACTACAGCCAGTGCTTTGCTATAATGAATGATGTGGAAGAAAGCATTTGTATTAGCTTGTATTTTAAAATGTGGAATGTCATACGAGTTGGCGATCTTAAAGTCATGAGAAAGCATTTTCTTTTAACACAAGCACTTCTTTTAAAGCACTCTCTTTCAACAACACTGCAACTATGTCAAAGCACAAATGAAACGCTTCGCTCATTCCTTGGAAACAGTGCATGTAACATTTCAAATGTCATATATTAAACGACCCAACATGCGTTGCGAACGCTTGTTATTTTGCAGTCAAACGAAATCCGCTGTGTTTAATTAAGCTTAATTTGTGCCGGAATAAAATTTATTATCATGGCCAAAAATTTTTGTAAGGAACAAGATTTGATGCAATAAGTAAAACTTTCATTTACATTTCATGCGCAATTTTGTCAAAATGTTCTATGTTATAGAATCATAAAAAATTATTCGCCTTAGGCTTCGTGATTATCGGTGAATATTCACCTCGACGGAAGTTTTAGTATTTTTGCACAAGTAAATTGACACAAGAACTACATTTCTTCGCCTATCTCTTTGTAAGAAACGTTTACTTGTGCAAAAATACTAATAGTAGATATTGACAGACTGGAATTAATTAAACAGTGGTCGTAATATTTAACATATAGCTAATAGGCATCTTTGGGAAATATGAGTTTATTTTTTTTGCATTCTTGAACGATCTTGAACCTATTAACAAAACAATATACGAACGAGCTAGGTTGTTAAATTTTCTAGTTTTATAATATAATTGAAATCTATTTTCAGAGAGAATTTCTCGCCGCTGCGGAAACCCCACCTTGTCCTTACTTTCAACCCTGTACCTCAAATGATGAATGTGAATGCGAGATAGAGACATTGGTGTGTCAAAAGAAGCATAATGGAGCCCGCAGATGCATGCGGGACAATTCTTAGCCCTTTGGAAATAGTCGTATCTAAATCACCACTAACTTAAATGTATATTAAAATGTTCGGGTTGAAACAAGACTTAGGGTTATCAGTTATGTCATAATAAAATATCCATAAACTAAAATTGTAAACATTTTATTTATTTTTCATATTCAATATATTCAAGGCGTCTACTGAGCATGAAAGTTTCTCTGCTGCTTACAACTATTATTACATTATTAGCATGATAAAAATTCTGGATGCTGATTGGTTGAGAGGTGTAGAGAAAAGTAATTTAATAATTTCGCCTAAACAAACAAATTTGCCAAAGGATATTCGCATACAAACTTAATTGCTCTGGAGCAATTAAAAAGGCCAGAAAGGAATTAAAATATATATATATACAATTGAAAGTACAGAATATTGGATAGAAGTTTCGCAGGATTGTATTTTGACATGAAACTATCACACTACATGGGATTGAAAATTATGTACAAGAAAATATTATAATCAAGCGCATGAAAAATTAATATGAATAATTAAGCGACGTGAGGGGCGGATCTTGGATTTCCCAAAAATTCCAAATGACAAAAATGTCGAGAAAGTTTTCAAATCGGTAGATTGGAAATTTTACTATTTCGACTCATGTTGGGGTTCATGCATCGCAAGCCCAAAAAAGACGTACCTCCTGGGTTCCGCATAAAAAATCATGATAGCAAGTTGATTTGAATTTGATTACACATATCACAGAACATCGATCCTCAAGCCGAAAGATGAAGAAAAATATTTTAATTGCACCGAGTAAGATACATTAAGCCATAGCCGTACTGCCCGTACATGAACTTTTTATACAAACCATGCCAATCGAAGCATATTAGGCTAAAAAAACACGAGTATTGATAATTAAAAAACAAACCAAATCATCAACAGAATCCAACCCTATGCGTATATTCGTAATGTTTTAATTTTATTCAATTGGTCTTCTTGCATTTCAAAAAGGCTTTGGAATAATTAAACATCTCCTTGTAGCAACTACTCTGCAACGAGCAAATCTCCACATGGTAAAGGTAAAAACATAAAATTTATATGTAAAGATATTCTTCATATACACCTCGCTAATTGTATGGTTTTCATGGAGAATAAATGAACTATATATAAGACATCCTGTCAGCAAGTTTTGACAGCGAAACAGACAAAGGTTGAGAAAAAGGTAACTTTTCATAATCCCCTGTTATTTGACGGGTTTTGAAACTAGATTTTTGTAGAGTACGCGGACTTCGGTCAGAAAATCTATAGGCCTATTAGAACTTCGTATATATACCACAGGAAATCTACTTCGTACTAAGCTATACAGGGTGTATCAAAAAAAATGTCCCAAACGTAAAATTTCCGTTTTTCAGGATATTTTGCAGAATTTGGCAAATTTTTGTGTTCCTAGAGATAGTTGAGACTTATCTGGTATACCTAGGCCAAGTTTGGTTTATGTTACCGGGGGGGTGGTTTCTTTCCACTGATATTGAGAGGGCTTGCGCGCGAAAATGTGAAGCTGAAATTGAGATATTATTTAGCTGCCTAAAAGTAAGAAAGCTTTTTAATAAACTGTCAAAGTTTCAGGAAAAATAATGCATACTGGGAGCAACGCGCGACCCCTAATGGTGACAAATATTTCATTGCGCGCAGTGGATTAAATGCATCGTTGATTTTAGCGAGATCGATCTCATACAAGGTGGGCAAATGAATAAATTAAAGCGAGAAACTGAACACAAAAACAAAGCGATTTATTCGTGATGTTAATCCTCAGCATGTCCACCATTTCATTCTAAGCAAACTGCGGCTTGTCTGAGCACACTAAACACTGAAGAGCGAACCATTTGTCTGCCCATTCGCCTAGATTTGCCGGTGGTAGCGTAGGAGATTTGCAAGAGGGGGTTTCGAACGAAATGGATAATTTGAGGCAGGACAGACAAATGCGGTTCGCCGTTCAGTGTTTACCATGCTCAGACGAGCCGCAGTTTGCTTAGAAAGAAATGGTGGAATTAATGTTGAGGATTAACATCAAGAATAAAAATCTTGTTATTAAATCGCTTCGTCTTCTTGTTCAGTTTCTCGCTTTAATTTATTCATTTGCCCACCTTGCATGAGATCGGTCACGCTAAAATCAACGATGCATTTAATCCCCTGCGCGCAATGAAATATTTGTCACTTTTAGGGGTCGCGCGTTGCTCCCAGTATGCATTATTTTTCCTGAAACTTTGACAGTTTATTAAAAAGCTTTCCTACTTTTAGACAGCTAAATAATATCTCAATTTCAGCTTCACATTTTCGCGCGCAAGCCCTCTCAATATCAGTGGAAAGGAACCACCCCCCCGGTTACATAATTTTGTTAATGAAAAACCAAACTTGGCCTAGGTATACCAGATAAGTCTGAACTATCTCTAGGAACACAAAAATTTGCCAAATTCTGCAAAATATGCTGAAAAACGGAAATTTTACATTTGGGACATTTTTTTGATACACCCTGTATAGCCTTTTAGGCTAAGCCCGAAGGGTAAACACGGCTATAACCATGTGATGCTGAAGATTTGAGTTCCTGGCTCATTTTTACTTCTATACTTGATGAAAACTTTGAACTTTGCCCTATCATTGGTCGTGTCTGTATTATTAATATTAGACTTAATTCTTCCATAGACTGCCTGGCACAAACAACTGAAACAAGGGAAGGGCAACGAGATAGCAAGGTTTAGATAGGCTATCGTTTGGATATCACTCTAAACCAAAATACCCGACAAAATAGAGCTGAAATGGCCTCTTTATACAGTGCTGTATCCTCACGCCAATTTCAGAGTGGAAGAGGTTTTCTTGAAAAACTCGAGCTGAAGCCGGGTGACAAAGTAATAGACATGGGCTGTGGTACAGGGGAACTGACAAAATACATCGCAGAGCAAGTGGGAGATATCGGCGAAGTGATTGGTGTTGACCCAGACAGTGCAAGAATTGAATTCTCCAAAGAGAATACAAAGCCCGTTTGCAACGTACGTTTTCATGAAGGCGACAGCAAATCTGGATTTCCGTACCAGGATGAAGCTCACTACGACCTTCATTTCAGTAATTATGTTTATCATTGGCTGCGTGATGAAGAGAAAGTGAACTACGTTAATTTGGCTTCCCGATGTCTCAAACCAGGAGGCCTGATTGCCATTCAGTGTCTCGCTGCATCAGGCGAGGCCACAATTGATAGCATGAGTAGGTCAGCAAATGTCAGCGTAGTTGATTCACAAGCTACGAGAGAGCTGCTGCATGATTGTGGGTTTACTGATATAAATATAATGACAATTCCGAAGACATTTTACTTTAACTCTTTCGAGGATTTTGGCGGGTTTTTTCTCGCGACAACGCACAAAAAAATTGAAGAGCTTGGGGATAAATTATGGCTGGAAGAATTCAAGATGAAATCAATCCAGAAAGACGGAAGAGCAAAGTTTGAAATGAAAATACTTCAAATACAAGGCCGAAAATAAAATCACACCTTTTTAAAGAACTGATTTACATATAGGTGCATGTATGCACCACAGCCCAGCATAATTACCATTTTTTACGTAGCTAGGTACAATAAAAGCCTGGCTTCCGAGGTTGGTTTTTTACTTCAATCCTAGCATGGCAAGGAAACACGCTATTAACTTTATCTTGAATAATTCTACTAGTTTATGCATAAATAATTGTCTCATGACAAGAAATTAATCAATTTTAGATAAATAGTACTTTAGAATAATTTGGATTAACAAGAAATAAAACTTGAAGTTGAAAAAAATAAAGTTTAAAATAGATTGAACATCTGTATGATCCTTTGCTGCTTGAGGTTGCTGCTTTCATCTATAAAACCTCTTAATTAAAAGTTGAAATTAATTTGCAACGAATTATACGTATTTGCGTTTTTTTCGCTCTTCACTTAGTCGTCCATTTTGATTTGGCCGATTAACATGTAACCCACATACAGTAGCGAGTTAGGTTAAAATTTAAGGCAATGCATATGGCAATACAAACACATTTACCCCTAACCATCCCCCCCCCCCTCTCGCGCGAATATTTGCAACTTCAAATCGGCTGTTCCATCCTCGTTCCCAGGTTTCCCGAATGCTGCGTGTTTTCTAAAAATCCATATCTTGAAATATTTGCTGTGAAAACAATGTATACGAACACATCATAAAGGCATTGTTAATTTATTATGAACATTTGAATTAAAACCCGCCAATCAAAACACAACAAAAACAAATATGAAGATTCCCTACATAATTTATCATACAGAATATGGTCATGTCCATAGTTAGCTCGCCTTTCCCTCCTTTGTAGACGACTCCTCATTGAGGGGTTTCGATGTTATTCTAAAGCAGCTGATATTAAGATAGTTACATATTTCAGTGATTACAGTGAAGCAGTACTGAAGTGCATTCAAAGTTGAAAATATCTGAAATTGAAAAAGAAATCTGTTGAAGACAGACCATGCATCCGGAAGGTGTCAAAACAATGAGGTGGTGTAAAATGACGTTCGCTAGCTCACCATAATTATATATATATATATATTTATATATATATATATATATATATATTGATTCTATTCAGAGTAAATTAGTTATATATGCTTCTAACATCGAGAATTTGGTTCAACTCATTTATTTCTAACTAAAGTTTATTACTTTTCGCTTCCTGTGAAGCAAGGTTTTGCAGCGATGTATATACAGAATGCTGTCGCACTATGTAAAAAGAATAATGTTGACTTCTTGTTTTTTACTGCTTGATTGTGGCGATATACTTGAAGACGCTTGGCAATTTTGCATCAATTCAAGCCCATGCAACATTGAACAGGAGAAGGCAGACACGTACACAACAAGTTTTGGCCAGTCACATTTCGACTGCCAACACCCAGCTGAAATAACAATGTAAAGATATATTGTAAAAACCTACCAGACAAAACCATACTAAGCGATATTCGCTGATTTGTGAGCTAAAATGAATATTAACGGCTTGAACAAAAGGGCATAACAATACAGTGTCGAGCATTGGTATACTACTTTTCGACATACACGCAACCTAAAAAAGTTGGAGAAACAATGGATAAATAATTTGAATGCATACTGTTTAGTTGATGTAAACTTTTAATAAGAACTAAAAGTACTGTGTAGATCAATTTCCGCATTAGAAAGATTTCGGGCAGGTATTTCCATTTGCTTTTCCGAAGATAAATGGCAAACAGTCACTATATTGAAACAAGTGGCCTGAACAGACTAGATACACATTTGTTTGTATTCGGTTGATGAAGGTAAAGTTACAACAAAGGTTCTTTCACAATTATCGCGAAAAAATACTCCAGAACTGGCTAAGAATGCTTAAATATTATTAAAATCAACAAAAAAGGTCATTTCTTTGGATTTAACCAAACTGAATGTGAAGTGTTTGATGAAAACCCTACCATGTAAATGTCCACGTCATGTACACGCCTTCACACTTGCTCGAAACATCGCTGCCTTAGAATTCCTGACATTTTACTGTTAATTTGTTGATTATGATTTGACAAATGAATTTTCAACTGCACAAATGCCACGTACATTACAAGGCAGAGGACATGAAAGAAACGGGCTAGCAACAACAAATAACTACGTAAATCATGCAATCGATACTTCCAAAAGCCTTCGGAGTCTTTTACACACGAGAAAGACATCTGTCCATTGCTTATCTGTGGTAGTGGCTAAAGTGGTTACTAGTATCTAGTGGCCACAAGTACGAGATTCATCATTGGCCCAAATTATACTAGAGACGGATGATCCGTCTGGAGGAATGATCCGTCTGACAGATCATTCGTACAAACACACGATCTAGGCGAACTAAGACGAACATGTCAAACGAAACAGAACCGAGCGTTTAGAAAGTGCATGCGGGAATTAGGAAATTATATATGCGCTAAAAAGAGTTTTACCACAAAAAAGAGTTTTTCACATGAAAAAACCATTTTATCTTGAATTTTTCGTAGTTCGTCCTCGCCACGTATTTATAATATACCCATGCACCATTCAGATTCGTCAAAATAGACGAAAATAGACGAACTATAAAATTATATGCAGATAATTCGTATTATATAATACTATTCAAAATAGTGAGAGCTTGTAGTAAGCCTTTTGTTTTCGTTGATGAAAACGACATTTCTCCACTTATTGAGAAATTCATTATTTGTATATTGACGGACGATCCGTCTGTTTGCGCGTGTTTTCAGACAGACGAACTAGAAGACTAACTAGCTTTCGCCTGTCCAAGTTCGTTTAGACGAATCTATCCGTTTCTGGTAAAAATCGGTCAATTCTCGCAATTGTTTGTCATTGTTCAAAACTCGTAGTCTTTGAAATTTCGAGTATCAGTTTGTTGATAATTTTGCATTCCCTACCGAAGGAGTTCGAGTTTGACGAGAAAATATAACGAAAAGTTTGGCTACAAAGGAAAGTAATCACATATTTATCTGTATTAAACAATTGTTTCATTATTCCTTGAATGCGCAATTGAGAATTAATGCAGAATTATTTGGTACTTGATCGTCGTCAATACAGATATATAATAGGTAATAATGCATGGGTTTAAAATTATAGCTTACCAATAATAGAATTGAAACTTTAGCCAAAACAATACCAAACGCAAAAACGAATAAACACGGGCCTTTTGCAAACACGTTGGTGTTAGAATATGCATAATTGTAGTAGATGAGGTAGAGTGTTATCAGCAATGGTACTGCAGGAGAAAGGACGCTCGTATCCTAAAGAAAACAGGAAAAAATCATTTCACAAACCATTCGGGAATACTTTTCAATTCAACAAAGCATTAATTTTCTAGTTCAACACTTAGAGAAATAAAGGAATGGTCTATATTGAATATTGGATTAACAACTGATTGAAATAATTATGCCCCAAGGATCGGTCTTCATCGGGAGAGTTCAGATCCAAATTATAAGCAAAACTCGAAACGTAGCTACTGAGGTAAGAAAAGTTGTAAAAAATAATTTATACAGACGACATCTCATCTCAAATCTCGTGTGAAAAGCGATTGTTTTTTAAACGAGACTATAGTATAGTCCTCTATATGGTTTTAGCACAGTATATATAAGGTTTAAATCTATTACGCTCTCAAAGTTCACGGTTTTGGATGAACAATTTTTATATGTAGCTTATTGTATGTATAGATGTACAACTGTATATATGTGTACAGTACATTATTCCTATAATATGCATGGTTTGGTTATTTCGTCCTATTACACTATAGTATGGTTATTATATGAATTTATAGTCCCAAGTGCCGATGTTTTTTTTTCGAAAAGAGCCCTCTTAAAAAACGTAATCTTCGTCTAAATAATTTTAAAAGTATAGCAATTAAAGTGTTAATGAAAGTCTTTTGTTGACAACAAATCGTGATCACAAAATAATGAAATATTTTGGGCTGGAAGTTGCTTTCTCAATCTCAATCTCAATTTGTTAAGTCGGTAAACCTTTTCAGATCACTTTAGTCGAGGCAAACCAGTGAGCACCAAGTAAAAAACGTTATAATGTAATTACATACCGCGATAGAAGATCCGTTTTTTCCTACACCACCTTGAAAGATTTCATAAATTCCTAATATCGTTGATAGCAGTGCAGGTATCGATGCTCCATACAAGAAAACCTCCCGAACCTGCAGCTGAAATATGGGCGTCTGAAAGAACAGAAATGGATATGGCACTGAGAAATATATGTAAAAGATCGCCTAAAAATCATGATAATAGCAGTATTATTCATTAATTTTTACATATATTAAGTTCATCTATGAAGACAAACATGTTAATTTGCCTTCAAATAGCTATAGAGGAAACAAGGCGAATTTCCGCCAAATTTTCAGATATATGGTGAGATACTTCACGTTAGGCACATGACTTTGTCGTCGGCCTCCTCTTCGATTTCTTAGGCAAAGATTAATTCGCTTTCAAAGACGCCAAATGTTTATGTCATATAGATGCATTAAATGCAAGCACGCAATTTCGTCTAGACGAATTATTCGCCTCAAGTATAGACACAGCTATTATATCAGGGGCTTTTTTCATTGACGAAATATTGACAGACTTGTTTCCTTTTGAATTTTAAGCTTTGACTCCGTAAATGAATTGCGCGTAATGCTTCAGCAATTCAATCTGGAGTGATCTTTCGAACTGTAAAAAATTTTAAAAATCTGTTGTGATCTTTCGAACTGTACTGTCGAAGTTTCCTAGTCTTAAATTTACTTTAAACTGAGAAATGATTCATTGGCTTTAAAAGCATGTATATACATTTACCTCAACCCTGAATATATCTTGTCCACAAAACCCAGTGAGAAAGAATATGAATACCCCTAATAATTGCAGTTCAGTCACATCAATTCTGCAAGAGAATAAAGCGTTTAATTAGGGTTAATACTATATAGTATTCTTCTGAATGCGCATTCTGCAATCTTTTAACGGCTCATCATATATACACAT